GCCTTTCATATACAACCTGCTCAACTGTCTGTACTTCTGCTGGACTGATCTTAATTTGCCCTATGGATCTGCTCTTATCAGTTGCTTCTGGTGAGTGAGAGACTCCAAAATCTGCAGTTTCCACAACTGAACCATCATAAATAACTTGTTCAGTGGCATGGTAGCCTGTACCACCACTCCTTCTCACTGTGGATGAGCTATAGAATTCTTGATTAGCCAGAGGAGTGTATGTATCACTTCCTGAAGAAACATCTATTTCTATATTGCTTTTACCATCAACAACTCTCTCTGATCTCTCTTTTTTCAAGGAATGGAAWGGTACCTTCTTCTCACCTGCAATTACTTCATCAAGCTGAGCTACATCAATCTCATCAGTATTAAGGGTCTGTGACAAATTGACTTCAGCAACAATAGTCACTGAGCCACCGTCCTCTGTTTTATCAACTTTCTTGATATCAAATTCTAAGCTACTGGAGTCAGCTTGATTTTCTTTCGTTAATGCAGACAGTTCCTCTTTCACACTTTCTGGGAGACTGCCCTCCAGCTGCCCCAAAGCTTCTTTCAGTTGATGCTTAGGATCCTTAGTTTCCTTTGATAAAAGGCCCTTTATTGAAGTCTGGAATTCATGAGGTATTTTAATTTCTTTTTCAATAACAACGGATTCAACACGGGCTGTTTCAGCTTTTGGAAGCTCTTCTTTTAAAATACGGGCACTTGCTTCCTCTCCTACCACTTTATATGTTACATCTGGAGAGCTTGCACCTTCATCTCTTTTACCTTGTGTGCCTTGCAAAAATTCATCTTGCCAAGAATACTTAATAGTTGATTCTTCTTCTATATGAATTTGGCCATATAGTGAGTCATCACCTTTTTCATGAACAACAGGATGATCATCAGGAACAGATACAAAATATTTCTGTTCAATAGGTGAGTCGTCTTCTTCAGTTACTTCTTCCACATGAGTGTAACTCCCATGGYGTTGCTTCTTCTTTTTAAGATCGTCATATGTAGATGTTGTGATTTGTTCTTCCTCATCACCATAATGCCTCTGTATTTCAGGGAACGTATCTTCCACTTCCTCTACTTCAAATGGTGTTGGAAAATCAGTCCTTTCATCAGTGACATAGTCTAGTGGCTCCTCTACAATCTCAACATTAACAGACACGTTCTTTCCACTCTCACTTCCTTTCAGGCCTTGATGTACTATATCTTCTATCTCCTCTTTCGAAGGCATTCCTTCAACACCCTCTGAAACCACTTTTTTAATATCATGGCTTGATAGACCTTCGCGATCAATCCGATCAGAAATATCTATGTTTTCTTGAACTTGAGACTGTACTGTGATCTCAGTCTTTATTTTCCCATCATCTGGCTGTTCTTTCTTACTGAAGTGAGTTACTTTTGTGTCCGATGATACTTCTGAACTAGAAGACTGAGTAAAACTTTTCAGAATGTCAGCAACAATATTTTCTGCTATGTTTTCTGTTGAAAGAGACCCTGTTTTATCACGTCTGTCGCTAATTCGCTCTTTATCTTTCAGACTGKATTCTGCTTCCGAAACAGTCACTTTGTGCATTTCACCAGGCTTAGTTACATGCTCATCTGTTTCTCTTTCTACAGAAGTTTTAATACTTTGCAGCCTTATGTCTTTCTTACTCGGAGACACTTTGTCAGAACTGATGGACACCTCAGTGGCTTCTCGGTTTCTGGATTCCCAGGTCAAATTTGTATCTTTTCTGGTTGATTCACTTTTCCAAGTTCTTGCGTTAGGAATATCACTCCCTGTTACCTTCTGGCTAATCACTTCCTCGTGAACGTATTTTTTCTGCTCTATCCCTGTTTTATCCTCAGTCCTCTTCCCAAAATTGACACTTCTGTTTTCCATAACAGGTTTCTCATCCATTTTCTTTTTCTCCAGTACATCTCTCTCTTCCTTTGTATGTTTTTCTAGTTTTTCTTCTTCTTTCAGCAGAATCTTTTTTTCTTCAGCTGGTTTACTGCCTCCTCTTTTTTCTTTTAGTGAGGYCTGAGTTTCAGTTATGGTTTCTTCATATTTAGATGATTTGGTGAAGCTTGGTTTTGTCCATATATTTTCAGCAGTTCCTGACCTTGTATCAACTTTGTGGTCCTTGTTCGATTTTTCAACATGTGCTGATTCTTTTGAATAAGATACTGTGGATGAAGTTGTAACTTCAGTTTTCTTTGTTTCTGGATATCTTTTTTGGTGCATTTCAGTGTTTTTCCAGCTACTGAAGGCTGGAGTATATGTTCTTGTTTCTCTGTGGTCTGTCACAATCTTTTCATCCTTTTTAACAGTTGTGGATGGACGATATGTTGAACTGAGCACATCTCTTCCAAAAGACCTCCCAGTACCTGTTGTCTGTGATCCAGCGTGTGTTGATTGAGCTGAATACAGCGCAGAGCTGCTAMTATTTGTTATTGGCATTCTGTGTCTTATATCAGTGCTTCTGATAGCTGGAAGGGCTTTATTTTTATTCCTTTCTTTGTAAGTAGAATAAATATCAGTGTAGTTATATGATGTGTTTATAACATCTGCAAATAGAATATAGATGGGCAAAAGTTAAAATAATGGCTTATATCTAAAAATAATATACAGCAACTTATATAAAGAACAGAARGAACTAAGATATTATTTTAGACTATGATTTTGAAAGAAACAATGTCTCTTCATTTTCAGTGCAGCTATGGATTAGTATTTCTGGAGGATTTACATGGTAATTAAACCTGTGCATAAATTACATTAAAACAAAAAACAAAGCTTTTTACCAAGTGGCAAATACTTGCTAACTTTAACCTATTATGAGCTACTAGCTATTATGGCATTTATTTAAGAATTACACCTTTCACATTTCTATTAACGTTCATTTACATTTACAACTTATTATTAAATACTGTATGCTAAATATCCKTGGCTTGGTTGGTTTTCTGCTTCTCTAGTCAAAGTTGCCTGAAACTTCTTGGTTCCTACTGAGAATTAATGCAGCTTGAATGTGAAAAATAGCTAGCACCACATGCTGGAAATTGAAAATACATCTTCTCATAGCCACAAGATAAAACAAAGGGGAGGAACACAGAACCTCTTAGGCTATACCCTAGACAAGTTAATCACATGAACCAGCAATCATTCCTTGACTCTGAGACCAACTAGCACTGCACAACTTGAATCTCTTCCTCCTAAAAGAGGACCACATCTACACTGACTTTGGGGAGTGCTTTCTGGTCTGGTAACCACTGATCACACCTCAACATTGTCTGCAAAAGAACTGCTGGTCTAGACCAAAACTACACCTGAATCGGTGCTAACAATTCAACAGCAGTTAGTGCTTCAGCCCTGACCCTACCCCTGTTTCATTTCTTAGTACTCAGCCTTCAGATTTCTCCCGGAGCTAYATTCTATGATAGTCTGATTATTTTAAGATCACGCAGTGCTTTACTCAGGGCTATTATCCAGCCTAATGCTATTCTAGTGTGAATCACCATTGTAGTCAGATCAAACRTCCATCTCATCTAGTATCCTGATTACAGTGGCCATCAATAGGTAAATATGGAGGAGTATAAGAACAGGGAAAGTAAATAGCAATACTTCCCTGGTATACTCTCACAGCCTCCAGAGATTGGCAGCTCCTAAGACAGAAATGGTATCTTAATGTTGATGGTATCTTAATGTTGAATAAGTCTTTGAACTTTCTTTCATTACKCTCTCAAATTTTCTCTTTAAACTCATGTAAATTTTTAATACTCTCAACATCTTATGGCAATGAATGCCACGGTTTTAACTATGTTTTCTACTAAATACCTCTTACCATATAGCTTGAAGCTCTCCTAAGATTTCCCCAGGTTACTGCCATAGAAGAGATATGAAACATCACTCCCTACTTCTGTTCTCCACCCGAGTCATGATTTCTAACTTCTGTCATACAGTATAGTACTAATTAACTTAAAATTACTAAAACTCAAGAACAGCTCAATTTCCATGTTTCAGTACAATGGTTTAAAAAAAAAAAAGATATGCTTCAGAAATGCTACAGCACAATAGTTTCCAGTTACATTCAATTTCATTTAACATTTATCTTTTAATGTTCATTTTTTACCTTGAGGGATTTTCCTTAAATGCTCCTCTGTCCATGTAATAACCCATGGGTTGCATTCCCCTTCTAACAAAGCTCTGCAAAACACATAAAAAAGCATTCAATTAAAATAATGGGAAGAATAGTCATGATTTGTAAGTCTTAAAACTGAAACAATACTTATGCAGTTGGGGCTGATCCTGAGTGCTTTTATTATCCCTTACTTTTATTAGTGAAAGTATGAAGTCTTCAGCACCTTTCAGACTCAGTTTTCCAAGTTCAGGTCTTACAAAGAGTGTAATGAGCTTAGAGTGGGTTATAGCAGCAGAAACAGTGAAGAAAATCTTCCAAATTAGCCAATATGCTGCTTCCTGACACTGACAAGGTCCATGAATTTGTGCTACYGCACAAGCAAGTTTTTCCAGAATCATGATCTTGTGACAGTCAGGAGAAAACAAAGCCAAACAAAACTTAACAGCGATTCAGGAAAATTCTCTCAGAGAAACACATGGAGAGGTTTTTATAAGGAAAAGGCAAAAATGAGTAAATCTTAACGAAAGAACGGTCAGTGGCTTTTCTGCTATTAATAAAGTAAAAAGTGTTGTTGCAATGCAGTGTTTTAGGGAATTACTACACAATCCTGTTACAGGATTCCTAAATTCTACCCTACCATATTTTCAAATAAACATTGGAGGAAAGTATTACTTCTGCTGCCAAACCCACTGGCCAGCACTGGAGGAAAATGCTYTCACCAATGTAACTATTCTCAGTTCTCATTTGAGCTGAAATCTATGCAACATATTTACAACAAACCATGAGGAAAATTCTTTGTRATAGCAACTCCTTGGGTTTTTATTGGATATCTCTATTTTCCCCTCTGTTCTTCAGCCTTCCATTCGTTCTTTCTTGCAGTGCCTCCGTAATAGCTCCGTAGTTCCAGGAAGCCACCACTGCCACAGCACTGCCTGGCCAAAGCCCACTTATGTTGAACGACCTAGACACTAGACTGGCTCAGCAGCACCTCTTCAGAAATGGGCAGGATGCTCATCTATTTACCTTCACTTTGAGGGAAAAAGGTACGTTCTCTTCTAGCATGCAAAATTAAATTGTTGACTTTTACATGGCAGATACAAAAGGTATCCAGAGCAGTATCTTATTCACTGCCACAATTCCTAGATACAATTATCCAATAGGCCTGTATCTCAAAATTTTGGTTAATTTTTCTGTGTGCATTCTTCTTTCTTGCTGTCCATATGCTTGCTTTCCCCAATATGCAGTATGTTCAGCTGTACTTCAAAGGAACTTTTCTAGAGGTGAGAGCTATGTTTTTCCCCCAACCTGCAGCATTTCTGGTGCAATAGACTAGAAATTCCCTGACAGGTTCTTTAAATATGCAACCGAATGCTATAATCAGTACAGAAAACATGGTGTTTTTAATACTCAGGTCTGCTAGCAAGATAACGGTTTCATCGGCTCCAGTTTTGGAAATGCTGGATGTTTTGCACCGATAACACACAGCTTCGACATAAAAGTTGTCCCAAGTGAGGCTGGAGGATTATGATAGCTGAGGCTTCCAACTCCCTAGTGGGGAGCTGAAAGCAATTTAAGATTGTGGGGCAAACAAGTTTCCTGGGCATTTCTGTCCAAATGAACAACACAGACATTTTAAATGTCAACTGTAGATTTCATATTTTACATGACTGATCACTTAGGATATTTCACACTCCTTTGACTTTTGACTACATGGGCATTCAGTAGGATAATGCTACTTCAGCAAATAGAGTTTTCTTTGCAACCATGGATTTGCCTAGACTCAGAAAAAAAGCCAGGTTAGAATTACCTAATGTGTTAACAGCTCACTTTCCAAGTGGTGCAGGCTTGGCTGAATACCTTTACCTTCATTTTATTAGTCAAATTCAAACTTAAGATAAGCTTTATCAGGCCAGAATCAAAATAAAGGYTCCTTGCCTTGGTCCAAGTTATGAGAAGCTTGCCTGGAATGAGATCACTTCAATGTATCTAAAGAACATTTCCAAGATCAAACATTTCATCTGATGACGTGAGTGCCGAGCAAACGAGGCTACAGGCAGGTGCTAGAGAGGCTGATGCTGACGTTAGAGGAACGTTTCAAGGTGCTGGCTCTGAAAGCGTTAACCATGACGAAGGAAACTAGGAATGTGGGTAGTTTGACTAAGGATTTTTGGCTGCTGTTAAAACAACAGTTGTTCAGTTGCTGGAGCAACGTATGAAGTCACTAAAAATAAGTTCCAAGAGGTAACTGAATATGGCAAAGGGCAAGGGCAGACAGAAAAGCCGGATCTGAAATATTACTATTGAAATATGTTGTATTTGAAAACAAAGGCAAAACATCATGAAGTCTCTATAGAACTGGACAGTGAACAGCATTTTATAACACCCCTTTCATAATGTTTTTCTGCCTTACAACGTGAACAAGAAAATGTTAAACTAACTTYGGTTCAATCAATTAGCATAGGAAACTGTAGTGCAAAGTACTGAGCACAAGTCTGGAAACCTGCAAGCTCGGTTTGCTTCCTGGTTTGACAGCAACTTTTAAAGCTTCACTTGAAGCAAATCATTTTACTTCTCTGCCCCTTATTATTTAAGCTGTAAGGTCCTCACGGTAAGAACTGTTTGCAGTATGCCTTTAAACCACCTGTGGAATATGCTATCGGTCTGTATGAACTCTTAAATATTCAGACTAATATAAAAAACATTTCTCCAAGCACCACTCTCTTATAAAGAACCCATGTCAGACACTGCTCAAAAATCAGATCCCCAGTGGCATACACCCACACTGTGCTAAGGCAGCCAAGGCTTAGTTTAAATGATGCCAGAAAAGAAAATCTAACTGCACCATTAATTTATCTTATTATTAATGTCATTTATCTAATGTTAGCAGCTACAGTCTAGTCAGCCTGGAACCTCTCTGCCTGCTGCATGATAGTAGAAGCCACCAGAACTTGACGGGCCCCAAAAGCAGGTGGATGAGATAAACTGGTTGGGATGAGGAGAAAGAAGTTATCAAAACCAAAGGATGTAGTGCAAATATTTCCCTGATCATTCACACATAGCAGTGACCTGTTCCATCTCAGTTACAGAAACCTAAAACCTCAGATAGAGACACTTAGTCGAGAGGCTATAACAACTCAACTTCTTTATTTTGAGTATGTGGCAAAAATAAAATAACCTCTCCAAGAAGTGGAATGGAAGAAGCACTTTTAAGGAGAAAGGCTACTGCAGCACATCTTTTCTGGGGAATAGTATGGGAGGACAGCAGCAGTGAACAAAAGCAGGTAATGGCACAATCAGCCAACATAAGAGATGCRGAATGTTCTCCAGGAAAGACAAGGAAGACAGGAATTCTAAGATATTGGATGGTACAAGAACAAATAGGAAAAAATAAAACTGCAAAAACTACAGTAAGTAGCTGAGGAGGCCTAAATGCTGGTGATGATTTCCTGAGGGGAAGACAAGTGGAAAAGTTTAGGTTAAGCATTGGTGGAGAAAACCAACCTACGGAGGATTAGAAAGCAAGKCTGACAATAGATATAGCAAGAGGTTCTGAAAATGCCCAAGGCCAAAATGCCCAAGGCCTGGATGCTTTGTAGGTTCTGGGGAGCAGCTGCTTCAAAACACAGGGTAATAACCTCGAACATGTGCATGACACTAAGATTTTAGAGTAAAACCTTTTACCTTTAAACAACAATATAGGTTAGGGGAGGTAGAAGAATATCTATCCTAAGACAGAGGCTCTAGGCATCCKCAGGCATTGGAAGATAAGAAATCTCAGGAAGTTAGGGGAAAGGCTTGATGATAATGCTGATTTTAGGCAGATTTTCTATCTATTTCTGAGRGTCTTAATGGTGGATAGCTCACCATTTCTTTTTGGAAAAAAAATAGGCATGATTTGAATTTTTGTGGGTTTGCAGGCTTCCAGCATCACAGTACAAAGCTGCAAGGTTCTTAATAAATATTTACTTCAGCACGGGAGGAAGGGGATTGCAATGAAGGCTTCTGCAAGGTCCAACTTCATAAAGCCACATAAGACATATATTTCACTTCCTGAGTGAGTCTCTGCTCCAAAGCAGGAAGGGTGGGCAGAATTAGATAGGAAGTATGCCTGGCCCTTGGGAAGGGTGTTCCTTGCAACAATGATCCTTCTTGCCAGTTCTGGAACAACGTTTACTGGTGGAAGAAACTGGCCTTAAATCAGAATCTGTAGGTAAAACAAAGGGAAAACACAGGGTGGGAGGTATGAAGGAAGYTCCATGGAAAGAAGTTGGCCAGACACCACATCCTTAGCCTACAATGCCAGGAGGAGAAAAGGTGCCAAGGTCCTCATGGAAACTGCTCAATGGCAAGTTCCAGATGCYGAGCTGGCGTGTGTACAGGACCCACTGGCTCCCTGCAAGCAACAGAAGATGAAGTGAAGCTGGCTCCACATGCACTGGTACCACAGATAAAAAAACCCGGCAGAAAAAAMTGGGTATGAAAGAGAGCATCAACAGTCCAGAACTCTCTCACTAAACAGCTTGCTAACTGGATCCATACTGTCCTGCTCCCATAGCAGTGTTGATAAAGGTTACCCAGTAGGCAAGGCATTTTACTTTTAATTGAAGAGAGAATGAGGAGGAAAGAAGGGAAAAAAATATGAAATGTGTGTTTGTCTGAGTGGTGGTGGAGAATCAAAACAAACATTTYTTAGCTTCTAAGATTTTAAAATTACCCTTTTTGTAGGCATTACATAGACTGTTTTCTGACATGTAGGAAGAGCCACTTCTCTATTTTCATCTCTAGACCTTCTACAGTGGGTGGATGCTCATTTGTCCACTCAAGTCTGCCTTGCCAAGGCAAATGGTTATACTGACAAGTTGCATTCTCAAAACAGATGAAGAAATCCTACAGGTTCAGGAAGTATCTTAATCAGACATGAACACATGCTGCAAGTGACGCCAAATTGTTCTCTTCTCATCAAGAAGGGCTGGGAATTCTTAGACCARCTAATAGTGCTATAGATAATCAGAAATATGGCCCCCAAAGAAGCTCCAGCATTGACCATGCTAGCAAGTTTTTAAAGAACAGAAACACTGATGTTTCACTTATTAGCTATGAATGTGTCAAAACAATCAAATATCTGAGTATCRCTATTCCTGTGAATTCCAAAAGTCAAAGCAATTACAGAACTGTTGAAGTGTGTCATTCCATTTTACAGATGAATAAGCTATGGGAAAGGTTAAATGACAATGTAAGAAGTCAACATTGGAGCTAGGAATAATTTTAGAATCATCGTATGTTTTAGTAAAGGTAACAAAATTAACACATGTACATAAGGATCACTGTTGCTGCCTCTTCCAGTGTCTGTTTCTTCCACTAATGACACCGACAGTGGGATCACAGGGATCCCACCGAACCTCCAGGTGCTGCTGCTCATCAATTCACCACAGATGACTTGTCCAAGACTCGTCATGACTTGTCCTAGACACCGTTTCCCATTTCTTCCCTTCCAGTAGCCAGACGCAGTCTTTCCTAACTCTACAACTCAACTTAGCAAGTYTCTTTACACAGAATTGAACTCTTAATTAAAAGCAACCAAATACCACAGAGTTGTGCCAAACTTCACAGCATTAATATGAAAAGTCCGAATCTGTAGGACCTTCCTTGGCACATGTCATTGGGTTTCTTAAACAGTACTCCCATTATACACAAAGCATACATAAATGAGCACTGGCCATTAGAAATTCTGTATTTAGGTCACAATACGTATCTTTAAATACCATGCTTTTGATCTCCTGGTCTGTACATCCTAATACGACTCTGGGCATTTTGCAGGGGCCCTCTTTGCTCTTTGATGCATTACAGACAAGCCTTGCTCATTAGTCTATCACCAGCTTGCTCATAAGTTACTCTTTCAAACTCCTCACATTTCTAGTAGTACAACTACAATTCAACTTCCT